TTCTGGTAGTTTTCATGCAACACTGCACGCATTAGCATAAATAGATCATGATGATGGTTTCTATATGAACGGTTTTCTCTTAACATGCTAAAGTTATCATGATGAATAGATCATGATAAGTTTATCACAATAGCTTATGTGAACGTACCTATTCTGTTCTCTCTTCTTATTGATTTGATTGGATTTTGTATTTTGATTTTTTTTTCTCCAATTTCTTCTTAGTTTTTATTTTAATTATTTTGGTATATGTATGAATAACTTATCCTTTTTAATGAAATTGTTCTATTTATTAAAGGTATTGTAGGCTTACTACTTTACTTCTATGTTCCTGAGGTTTTCTGAATAAATTTCTTTTTCTTCGTTTTCGTACATTTTTATAAATTCATTCATCATAAAAACAATATTGGGAACATATAAAACTACTGTTGTTTTAATAACATTTCTGCTGATTTCATATTATAAATGAATTATTTGCCTTGAAAATTATTGCTATAAATTAGTTATAATTCTACTGTAACTCATTATGTCAATAAAAATAAAATTATGAAGAATTTTGTCATCGTTATATGAAAATATGCAAAAAATCCCTATTAAGGAGACAGTTTCACGTTTTGGTTAGTGGCCCCTTATTAAGGGGACACTTTTTTTTTGGTCCCGAAGGTATCCCTTTAATAGGGGCTCTACTGTATCTAACAGTACCAGGTGTGGACAATAATAGGGAACTGTCGATATTGCACGACAACGATAGGACGTGGTCACTAAAAGTCACATGCATATGCGAGAACGTTAAATCTAAGTACCAGCGTACGTAGGACGCACAGTAGGACGGTCACGCATGAGGAATTCCGCTGTAGCGTCGCGTCGTCGAACAAATCGAACCGCGGTAACGAGATCTCACCTGCATCACTTTTATTTTCAATTCAATACGACCACTGATCTCTACCTGAGAAAACTAGTATAGTTGTCTCAGTCTCTACTATAATACGACCCATGAGCTACAGGTTAATTGCCTACCTTTGTGATTTTCTGTGTTAGTTTTCGTAATTGGCTCATCACTAATACCAGTTCTGTCTTTGGGTTCACCATTTACCGTGGCTACTACTGATGTATGCATGCGATAAGTGGAACTTAACGGTATAATACTGCTAGAAAATGACTGCATTGACGTGCCATCAGTAGTCGTGGATAACTGCGTGGTTGCTGTAAAACGAAAAAAAAGCATGTAATAGTCTTCTGAATGTGTCAAATTTACTTGTGTACACATTATGTATTTCAGTGGTTCTAATAATAATTGAAGGTATTAATTGATTACTACCACTTACTTATTGATTTTTCACAAATATAACCATATTCAGTATTTGCAGTTTGAGACCCTATTAGCGCGATACTCTCAATGTCGTACCATTTGCCAGGTCCGAATTCTTCCAGGGTCGTCATATACACTACTGCAGAGTCATTAACAGGAACATTTGGTTCATTACTGCCCCATAACAACTCCATAGCAGTATCACCGGATTCCCAGTTCCAAGCATTTTGAGGATAAATTCCTATCTGGCGGGATAATCCGATGGCGTAGTTTCCACGTGTGCAATTATCTTGGAGGAAGTTCAAGATTGCATCGTTTTCATCTGAACTGGTTATGCTTACAAGTTGATAGCCTGATTGTTCACATATTTCTTTAAGGTCGTTCCATGTTTTCAAACCATTATAGTCTGTTTCCACAAATGTAGCTTCATAGTGCGATGACCCAAAATAAAAGTCTACACAGACTACATTAAAAGAGAATTTGTTATTCAAAATAAAGCGTACTGATTAGTACACAGTCAAACAAAAAAAAAACTAACATCTGAAAATAATTTACATGGCGCTTTTGCAAAAATACTTATCATAAACTGCATCTTACTATAACAAGTAAAACACAATTAAAAATGAATATATTGCAATAAAGAACTAAACAAAATATATGTGTACTAATCACTACAATTCATATTTGTCATGCCATTTTTAAGAATGTTTTCTTACAATATACTACTCAAATTATTAAGCTCCATAATAAGAATACTGTACAAATACAAATACTGTAGTTCAATCTTGCAACTTACAAAAGTAATTGATGTGGGATGTAAAAAATAATAAACACCAAATTATTTATTAAAATATACTTAATAATAAATGAAAACATTACGTTTACGAGTAGCTCACACCTACTATGCATAGTAGGCCTTTAGTTAATTGGCATAGGCCTAAGCAAATTAGTACTTACGTGCCGAAACTTTTCTAATACAAATACTTTTGTGAATTATAATACAGTGAGCCGTGAAATCTACTACATCGTAATGGATGAAAACGAACAGTTTAGTGTCGGCCTATAATATATACCTATAGGCCTATACACAATGATATAGGCCCTATTACACGAAATTTTACATACAAAATTCTTCCTTACCTGTGCTCGTATCTCTAAAAAAATAGACAAAATATTTAAAATATGTAAATAATATGACTTGTAATACAGTGACAGAATCGGAAATAGGCCTTTTTATAACATTTCCTTGATCATCACAGGATGCCACGATACGCTTACTAATCAGTAGCCGCTGGCGATGATATATATGATTCGTGATTCCAGATACACATTGTAATGGAAAATCAATTAATAATGAAACTTAGAAGCTTACTAGCAAATAACAAAGTTAAACGGAATACCTTCACTATAGACAACTGAAAGAAAACCATGTAGTATTAAACTGATACAGAGAAACATTTTTAAAACCTGACCAACATGTTCATAGCGAATAAGGAAATACGAATATAATTTCAACATGTATGGGGGCGCTA